GCAGCCTTGCCTTGTCCCTGATTTCAGTGGGATTGATTTAAGTTTCTCTCCATTGAGTTTGATGTTAGCTATAGGCTTGCTGTATATTGACTTTACTATGCTTAGATATATGCCTTGTATCCCTGATCTCTCCAAGACTTTAAACATGAATGGGTGTTGGATTTTGTCAGATGCTTTTTCAGCATCTAAGGAGATGATCATGTGGTTTTTCTCCTTCAGTTTGTTTATATGGTGGATGACATTGATGGATTTCCGTATGTTGAACCACCCTTGCATACCTGGGATGAAGCCTACTTGGTCATGGTGGATGATATCTTTGATGTGTTCTTGCATTCGGTTTGCAAGTATTTTATTGAGTATTTTTACATCAATGTTCATAAGAGAGATAGGTCTGAAGTTTTCTTTTTTTGTTGGGTCTTTGTGAGGTTTAGGTATCAAGGTGACTGTGGCTTCATAGAATGAGTTTGGTAATGTTCCTTCCGTTTCTATTTTGTGGAATAGTTTTGAAGAGAATTGGAGTTAGCACTTTTTTGAAGGTCTGGTAAAATTCTACACTGAATCTATCTGGCCCAGGGCTTTTTTTGGAAGGGAAACTGTTGACTCCTTCTATTTCCTTGGAGGATATAGGACTATTCAGTCTTTCTACCTGATCTTGACTTAATTTAGGTAGATGGAATCTATCAAGAAAATTGTCCATTTCTTTTAGATTTTCAAATTTTGTGGCATATAGGCTTTTGTAGTACGACCTAATGATTGACCTAATGATTGTTTGGATTTCCTCAGTGTCTGTAGTTATGTCCCCCTTTTCATTTCTGATTTTACTGATTTGGATAGTTTCTCTCTGCCTTTTAGTTAGTTTGGCTAAAGGTTTGTCTGTCTTGTTGATTTTCTCAAAAAACAAGCTCTTGGTTTCATTGATTCTTTGAATAGTTTTATTTGTTTCTAATTGATTGATTTCAGCACTGAGTTTGATTATTTCCAGCCATCTGCTCCTCTTGGGTGTATTTGCTTCTTCTTCTTTTTTTTTTTTTTCTGGGGCTTTCATTTGGGCCATTAAATTGCTTGTATGAGAGGTTACAAATTTCTTCTTGAAGGCACTTAGTGCTGTGAATTTTCCTCTGAGCACCGCTTTCATTGTGTCCCATAAATTAGGGTATGTTGTGCCTTCATTTTCATTGAATTCTAGGAAGTCTTTAATTTCTTTATTTCTTCCTTAACCCAGCTTTCATTGAGCAGCAAGTTGTTCAGTTTCCATGAGGGTGTAGGTTTTTTGCTAATTCAGTTGTTGTTGAGGTCCAGCTTTAGTCCATGGTGGTCAGATAGGATACAGGGGATTATTTCAATCTTCTGTATCTCTTGAGGCTTGTTTTGTGACCAAATATATAGTCTGTTTTGGAGAAGGTTCCATGAGGTGCTGAAAAGAAGGTATACTCCTTTGAGTTTGGGTGAAAAGTTCTGTAGATATCTATTAGGTCCATTTGAGTTAGGGCCTCTGTAAGTGCCTTTATTTCCCTATTTTGGCTTCTGTAGATGATCTGTCCCTTGGTGAGAGTGGGGTATTGAAGTCTCCCACTATTGAGGTGCTGGGATCAATGTGTGATTTAAGTTTTAATAATGTTTCATTTATGAATTTAGGCACTCTTGTATTTGGGGCATAGATGTTCAGGCTTGGTTTTCAGTATCCACATGATGGTTTACAATCATCCATAACTACAGTTCCAGGGGGTCTGATGTCAACAGGTCCTAGGCAGGCATGTGGTATACATACATACATGCAGGCAAACACTCACACATAAAAAAAAAATAAAATAAATAAACCTTTACAAAAGTAAGGTGGAGATTGATAGAGGAGAATATACTTGATATCGACCTCTGGCTTCCACATATATACACAAGGGAATGTAACATAACACACACATGCATGCACGTGCACATACATACATTGTATATAATATATCTAATATATCTAATATATATATTAGGCAAAGAGAGACTATGCAAGGTATCTTCAACATATGAGAAGTTTTTGTTTTGTTGAGTTAGGGTCTTCTATGTACCATAGGCTCCAATTTGCAACCCTCCTGCCTCTTCCTCCTGAGTACTGGGATTATAGGCATGTTACCTTGTGAGTCGTGATTGGAGGGCTTCTCAGCCTGGGTACCAAAGGTATTTTGAACAGATGAGTCCTGCTTTTAGATGTCAGTAGCATTCCCAGCTGTGACAGGTTACACTGTCTCTAGATATTTACCTAATGTTCAGGTCAAGAACCTCTGATTTAGACTACTGATTTTGAGGTCTGGCGCTCTGATACTAAGTACATAATGTAGATTAGGTACATAACAAATGAATCAGGGTTTTTTGTTTTGTTTTTGTTTTTTTGAGATAAGGTTTTTCTGTGTAGCTCTGGCTTTCCTCAAACTCACTCTGTAGACCAGGCTGTCCTTGAACTCACAGATCTGCCTGCCTCTGCCTGCTGAGATTAAAGGTGTGCACCACCACCGAAGGCTATGAATCAGGTTCTACTTTGTTTTATTTTGTTTTTGTTGTTTTAAAAATTATTTTAAAACATTTTTAACTGACTTATTTATTCTTACTTTACGTGTTTTGGTGTTTTGCCTACATGATGTGTGTGGAGGGTCCCAGATCTCTAGGAACTGGAGCTACAGACAGTTGTGAGCTGCCATGTGGGTGCTGGGAAATGAACTGGGGTCCTCTGGAAGAGCACCCAGTGTTCTTAACTGCTGAGCCATTTCTCCGACCCTTGTTTTTGTTTTTAAGGTTTATTTTGAGAGGCCACTCTGGAGCCCAGGCACAGCTGGGCTGGTACTCACTCTTCAGCTCAGGTTATCCTGGAATTTATGGCAATCCTCCTGTATCAGCCTCTTGAGTGTTGGAACTAGGTGTGGTCTTCCACCTGGCAAGACTGTCATGGTTCTAATATCAGATTAGAAGATATATCATAGTTGGTATTGTTTTAGTTTTATACTATGATAAATATAGCTGCTGTTTAGTCTGCAGTTTGTGTAGTATGTAATAATGCAAGGCTTTTTGTGGGTAATTAATGACCTTCTCCAATGACAAGGGCCCTTGATGGCCCATAGAGTTTAGAGATTATTTCTTTTTATTTATTTTATGTGGAGGTAGGGATTGAATCTGAGCCTTGTACAAACTAACCAAATACTATCTCTTTTTTAACTCGGTAAGTGTTACCGCTGGGCTACATAATGGTTTCATTATTTCTATTTCTATTTTATTTATTTATTTATTTATTTTTGAGACAGAGTCTCACTGTGTAGCTCTGGCTGTCGTGGAACTCAAAGAGATCCTTCTGCTTCTGGCTTCAGGGTAACAGAATTAAAGGCATGCACCATCTCACCTGGCTCCTGGCTTTCTTGGCTTGCTTGCTTTCTTTCTTTCTTTCTTTCTTTCTTTCTTTCTTTCTTTCTTTCTTTCTTTCTTTCTTTCTT